CTTAAATCAATAAGGGGGGGGGACCTACTGTCCTCCCCCCAGCCCTTACCCCTGAGCGGTGGGTGGGGCCCTAAAAAAACAATAAGGGGGACCTACTGTCCTCCCTGCTGGACCCCATCCCTGAGCGGTGGATGGGGGCCCTAAAAACAATAAGGGGGTTGCCTACTGTCCTCCCCCCGCCCCCACCCCTGAGCGGTGGGTTGGGGCCCTAAAAAACACAATAGGGGGGAACCTACTGTCCCCCCGGCCTCCACCCATCCAATCAGAGTGCTCTGTGTCATTTTACACAGCGTGGGAAAGTTCTTTGGAATATTCCCACGCTGTGTAAAATGACAAAGAGCACTTTGATTGGCTTAAACCAACCAATCAGAGTGTTCTTAGCCTAATTGCAGGGCGGGGAAAGGCTTTATAAGCCTTTCCTCGCCCTGCAGAGCTCAGTCTGCGCTGAGTCCTCCATGGGTGAAGATGGATACATTTTTTTAGTGTCAGTTTTTTTCTTTTTCGTCTGGATTTTTTTTTGCGCTCAGGTTTTTTATTTTACTTTAAGTTCGACGGGTATGATGGCTTTTTATTTGGCCTTTTTGGGGGCTGAAAAATGAAGATTTTAGAAAAAAATAGACGTCAAATGGTAAGTTTAATTTTCATTTACAGGTTAGTTATTGTATTCCCCCCTCACTATTTTTAGGGTGAGGGTGTTAGGTAGGGATAGTATTATTTAGGTGGGGGGGGTGGCTAGGGGCTTGGGACCCCTAGTCAACTTGATTGGGGGGGATTTTTATTTAGGGCCCCCATCCACCGCTCAGGGGCGGGGGCCAGGGGGAGAACAGTAGGCCCCCCCTTATTGTTTTTAAGGCCCCCACCCACCTCTCAGGGGTGGGGGCCAGAGGGGGAGGACAGTAGGTCCCCCCCCCTTATTGTTTTTTAGGATAGTAGTTTTCTTTTTTAAACAATGAGCAGCCACAGGCTGCTCACTGTTTAGTGGACATTCCCCTACTCGCGGTATAGTGAGTAGGGGCATTGGGGAGATTTTAATCTCTCTTATGCTATTATGGGGTTCATATTGACCCCCATAGAGTGAGGGGGGACCTGGGGGGCTTATGAAGTAGCGGGGAGCACTGCTCCCTGCCGCTTCTATCTTTACATATTACAAGGAGGGAGCTGCGCGCCGGTAGCTCCCTCCTTGTAATAAACTGAACGAACAAACGCACACTGATATTCAGTGTTTGTTTGTTAATCTGACATTTCAATTAATTCAATCGTCTTTCTGATGAATGAATGAATGGATGAAATTCCTGTTCGCATGTCCAAGTGTTTCACTGGGCATGTGCGGGAATCTCACAGTCTATATAGTGTGGGCAGATGATGTGTCCCACAGGGACTTCCTCTACCAACACAAAGATGTCGGCGCCCTGAATATAGATCGGGGCAGAAAATAAAGATGAAAAAAAGGGTAATATGGGGGCTTAGGGGCATTTGGGGGTAACTAGTGGGGCAATTAAAGATAGTGGAGGCAGGAGGGGGGTTAAAAAAAGGGATTCGGCCATGACCGTGCCGCTTTAACTTTACAGAGAACACATTTTCTGTCTAACAATAAGTGACTTTTGAAATATGGACTAAGTTAAAAAAAAGAAATGACTAGAAGGTCAGAATGAAATAACCTTGAAGTCAAGGGTTGGACTTGATGGGTAAAGATTAGGGCATGACCCAGTTAAATCATATATGTTAAAGGGACTCTATAGTCACCTGACAACTTCAGCTTAATGAGGTTGTTCAGGTGAGTGCTACAGCTCCCTGCAGCCTTTTTCATGTAAGCACTGTATTTTCACAGAAAATACAGTGTTTATATTGGAAGCTTAGAACACCTCTTGTTGCAGTCAATCAGACGGCTACCAGAGGGACTTCCGAGTTAAGAAGCCCTAAAAAGGCTTCATTCACGTCTGACGTATTCACGCATGGGTGAATACTTAAAGGACCACTCTAGGCACCCAGACCACTTCAGCTTAATGAAGTGGTCTGGGTGCCAGATCCTTCTAGGGTTAACCCATTTTTTTTATAAACATAGCAGTTTCAGAGAAACTGCTATGTTTATGAATGGGTTAAGCCTTCCCCCAAAGCCTCTAGTGGCTGTCTCATTGACAGCCACTAGAGGCGCTTGCGTGCTTCTCACTGTGATTTTCACAGTGAGAGCACGCTAGCGTCCATAGGAAAGCATTGTAAATGCTTTCCTATGCGACCGGCTGAATGCGCGCGCAGCTCTTGCCGCGCGTGCGCATTCAGCCGACGGGGCGGAACGGAGGAGGAGAGAAGGAGGAGAACTCTCCACTCAGCGCTGGAAAAAGGTAAGTTTAAACCCCTTTCCCCTTTCTAGAGCCGGGCGGGAGGGGGACCCTGAGGGTGGGGGCACCCTCAGGGCACTATAGTGCCAGGAAAATGAGTATGTTTTCCTGGCACTATAGTGGTCCTTTAAGATGTGCTATCAGCACACAAAGCACTTTGTGTGCTGAGGCTGTCAGCACTGCTGTGGGAGTGGCTTGAGCTGACAGGCTGAAGACCGAAGAGGAGGAGGGGAGGATTCAAACTGTGTAAGTAAACTTATTTAGTGAGTGTGGGTGAGGATGGATGATGGGGATGGATATGGATGATTGGAGGGGATGGATATGGATGATGGGAGTGGATGGATTTGGGTATGGGTGATGGGAGTGGATGGATGATGGGAGTGGATGGATTTGGGGATGGCTATGGATGATGGGAATGGATGGATTTGGGGATTGATATGTATGATGGAAGTGGATGGATATGGATGATGGGAGTGGATGGATATGGGAGTGGATGGATGATGGGAGTGGATACATATGGATGATGGGGATGGATATAGATGATGGGAGTGGATGGATGAGATGGATGATGGGAGTTGATGGATTTGGGGATGGATATGGATGATGGGAGTGGATGGATGATGGGAGTGGATGGATATGGATGACGGGAGTGGATGGATGATGGGAATGGATGGATTTGGGGATGGATATGGATGATGGGAATGGATGGATGATATGGATGATGGGAGTGGATGGATTTGGGGATTTATATGGATGATGGGAATGGGTGGATGATGGGAGTGGATGGATGGATATGGATGATGGGGGTGGATAGATATGGATGATATGGATTGGGATGGATGGAGAGAGTGTGTGTATGTCTTTAATTTTTACTACTTGTGTGTTTGCATAGAAACACTATATATAAAGAGATCTCTATATATAGTGTTTCTATGCAAACACACATTTTGGCTGAGGAGGGGGCGGGTATAGAAAGCGAGCTCAGCTGTCAGTCAGACAGCTCAGCTCGCGAACACGCATTCCGGGAGAGGCGCTGAGTGTCTTCATCGGGCTGCATTCAATGCCACTCTTTGAAGAACGCGATTGATGCAGCCCAAAGTCGCGCATGCGCACCACATCGCTCCTTGAGAAGTGTCCTATTGGCCCCCGCGATTTCGTCATTTTGACGAAAAAGGGGGCATGGCCTCGTTGGGAGCTCGGCGCTGGAACGGAGGTAAGTTTTTAATATAAAAAAGCCTTGAAAATTATTTTTATTTGCTGGAAGTTCATATAATAGCAAGAAGGAAGGCTGGGGGACCTGTCTTTCTTGCTTTCATATGTAGACTATAGAGTCCCTTTAAATTATATATGACAAAAAAGAATTCCTTAAAGCAGGTATATTGGAAATGAGAACCCAAGTATTGCTCAGATACCAAATCTCAAAAAACAGCCAAAGGTTTACCCATACAGAGGATAAACAACTCGATAGTAAGGATAAGTAGTTATGATTGTTAAAAAATCTTTATTTAATATTAGACACTTAATACTAATGTGTGAACAAAAACGGTGATACAAAAATATGTGCAAGTGCTTAAAAAGGGGAATCTAACGAGTCTGCCTGATATGTCCTAAATAAAGCTGGTTAGGCAAGTACCCAAAATATATTATGTGCATAAAGTTAAGTATCTATGTATTTAAATACAATTGTAGCTGTTTGCAATTTGTTGCGACATCAAGTTATCAGGTAAAGATATACACAACCTCGAGAGATCTATGTTGAAAATACACAGCCAAAGTAGGTATAGAGATTATAGTGGATGGCTTCAAAAATGTACAATGTTAGAGGTGATAGAAAGGAGTTCTTAGTATAATGATTGAAAAATCTGGAAAAGAGAGTAGTAGACAATTAAGAAGTAAATATTGATAGATTACAGTATATACTCGAGTATAAGTCTAGTTTTTCAGCACATTTTTTGTGCTTAAAAACCCCCACTCGACTTATACTCGAGTCACTGTCTGTATTATGGCAGAGTGTGTGTATATAATGCAGAATGTGTGTTTGTATGAGTGTGTGTATATATAATACAGAGTGTGTGTTTGTATGAGTGTGTGTGTTTAATGCAGTGTGTGTGTTTGTATGAGTGTGTGTGTAGCCCCAAGTTAGAGGTCCCCAGAGGAAGGCTTCACAGCCAAAACGTTGGCGTTTCATTTCTCCTGCTCTTGGTCAGTATACCTTTTTTAATGGGTTTTTACATTTAGCACTTTACTTACATTGTGGTTTTGGTACTATATACTGGTTTAACACTATACTATGCACTTTCTCTCTGCTATAATGAGATATTGTTGTATTTTCTGTGCATGAATAAATACTCTTTTTATGTGCAATACCGTGGTGTGCCTTGGGATCATTTCTTATTTTTTATTACATGTATATATCTGGTATGGGAACAGATTCTCTTCCTTTAAGAGCATCCTGTACCTTATAAACCACACACCTATTAAGCATTTTTCAGTAGAGATTTTCCTGTAATTTTATGTTTACACATTACTTAGAAGGCAGGAGGTAGGAGGTACTATATGTAAAACGAGACAGGAGTATGCAAAAATCTGAACTTTTCTATAGATTGTACATGTTGTTTCCTGCACAAAGCTTGTTAGCTGCTAACGTCCTTCCATATCTTAACAATGGCTGCAGTGGATATTATCTATTCAATAACTTTAGCTCTGATGTCGGTAGTAACAATTTTATTTCTTTACAATGTTTTGAGTGGATGGACATCAATGAATAAGAGGTTTCCTCCGGGACCCAGACCTTTACCACTGATTGGAAACTTACACATGCTGAATTTGAGGAAACCCTATCTAACATACCTGGAGGTAAATAACTAGCAATGTATTAAAATAATTAATTCAGATTGCCATAGAAAAACAATGCTATGTTTCTAAGGATTCAGGGACACAACGGTGTAAAATAATCAGGTTTGTTTTTTTTAATAAAAAAAAGCAGACATATTTGCATTACAACACCTGGATTTTTTTTGTTTTTTAATTTTTAGTAAATATAAATTGCACATCAAATATTTTCTAGCAACATAAAAGAAATGTTTTATTTTCTGCCAAAAACAAAATTGCATGATCTTTTTAACATATTAAACAGAAAGTTTAAGTAAACTATGTGTGTCCAATTTGTAAAGAAAATGTGCTTTTTACAGCTATGCAGTTATGGTAATAACATATTTAAAGAAGCAATAAATATGTGTTTATTCTTTAAACAGGTATTTTGATGAAATGTGCAAAAAAAAAAGTGGAACATTCTCTGGATACATATTTTCATTGGCTGGCTATTTTGGGATGAAATTTGCAGTTACTTTTTTATTGTCCACAAATCCCAGTTCAATGGATTAACCACATTGATATTTGCAATTTTTTTTCCATCTGTCTATATTAGATATCTTTTGGAAAAGGGTTAACTATAAAACTTACGTTTCTGGTTTCACTTCCAATTTATGACATTGTGACTTATATAGTGAAGTGGAGACTGAGAATTACAATGAACTAATTCTCAGTAATCTGCACTTTGAGCAGAAGCAAATGTACACAGCGTGACACAGTACACGGAATGTTCTGAAACTGCAGTGTTCATAAGTAAATGTATATTGACATACCTTGCCCAACTCCTGCCAGACCCACAATGAATTATTCATTATCTAGTACAACCAGACAGTTTCAACCTTCACCTAGTGCACAAACGAAAATATAAACATAATCAAAATGTAGCTGAGCCAGTTTATTACACAATGGCCATAGTACACAACAATTACATTTACTGCCAGAGTTATAACTCATTTTTCCATAGGAGAACTTGTACTAAAGTGTTTTCTAATTATAGTTCATAATCCTTCCTGTTGTGGCTGTGTTCCTCTGTGTGAGGAGGGAGCAGGAACATGAAGTGAGGTCATTTTGCTCTGTGAGTTTGCCAATATATAATAAAAGACCTGACAGACTATAAAAGCAGTGCCACTCATTCAGTATGCCCTCACACAGTGCCACTGGCATCAGGAAGGACGCCTTTGCAGCTCCGCCCCCTCTGACGTCCCACAACGAGTGGGTGCTAGCTAATGCGCAAGCGCGACAAATGCCACGTGCGTATTAGACCTCACATGGCATTTGACCTCATTGAATTAGACCTCATTGAATTAATGCTTTCCTATGAGGAAAAATATGACGCTGGATGTCCTCATACAGAGCGTGAGGACTTCCAGCGTCAGATACAGATACATGCATTTCAATCCAGGAAGCCCTCTAGTGGCTGTCTGGTAGACAACGACTGGAGGCAGACTTAGTGCTGCAATGTAAACATTGCAATTTCAATGAGCTGAAGTGGTCTGGGTGCCTATAGTGTCTCTTTAATGTATGAAATATCTAACTCCATTAATGAATATAATCCTCTAACACAGGCAACTGAACTAATATAGCTAGCAAATTATTATTCTATACTCATTGGCACTTCTTAATATTTTATACATTTCAGCTATCTAAAATCTATGGCCCAGTGTTCAGCGTTCAGGTGGGCATGAGGAAATCAGTGATCTTGGTTGGATATGAATCAATCAAAGATGCTCTTGTGAACTTTGCAGATGAGTTTGCAGAGAGGGCATATATGCCAATATTTGAAAAGATTGACAAAGGAAAGGGTGAGTAAATTAATGTATGATGTAATCCAGAGGTGCCCAAAAAAGTAGATCCCAACTGTTTTAAAACGACAGCTTCTGTGATGCTTTGTTATTCAAAACGCATGCAAAGGATTATGGGAGTTGTGATTCTACAACATCTGGGGATTTACCCTTTGGGCACCCCTGGTGTAACCCTTTGATAAACTGAATATTGTTACAGAACAAGAAAGTTATTTGTTTTGTGGACTTCACTGTAGCTATTGCTAATGCTATCGTGACCCTCACCTCCACCCCCCCAGAATAGTCCACTCTGTTTTACATTTTATTTTATGCACTTTTTGAAGGGACAATAAATGCAGGAATAAATCTTTTTTTGTTTGTTTAATTTATTGTAAATATAAAGTATTGAACAAATTATATAAAAACAAAACAAATTCATAATAAATTGTATAAAGATTCTTTAAATGGTACAAAGATTTTGTTTTGTGCAAATCTACACACAATACAAGCCATTGTTTTATCAGACTTGAGCTTTGATACTAGGAAAGATATATTCGCATTGGTTGATAATATGTATCAGACTCATTTCCATAATGTGACATTATTGTGTATAAATATTTAACATTTACTTTTAGGAGTAATTTTTTCGCATGGGGAAAACTGGAAAGTGATGAGACGATTTGCCATCATGACATTGAGGGATTTTGGAATGGGAAAAAAAACCATTGAAGATAAAATTATTGAAGAAAGCGGCTTCTTAAACCAACGTATTGAGGCATTTAACGGTGTGTATAAATAGAGAACTGTATTTTTAGCCGTCTCTCAGTCATGAGTTATATTATGTTTGTTTTGATGGTGTGTGTTTAGATATATACAGTGTTTCTTCCCTGGAACCCTCGTCTCCACACGGTTTTGTTTGTGTTTGTTTGTTTCTTGTTTTCTTACTTTAAAATACCCAACATTTTGTCACATTTCAAAAAAAAAATTCTTGTTCACTGGATTTCCTTTAGGCTGACTCATAATCAGTTGGAAACTATGAATTGGAGGGGGTACACCCAGAACATGCATTTCTCAGTAGTGGTGCTGCTGTAAAGACCAAATATATACAAAATACAAAAAAAGAACAGTGCACACAGAAAACATCACCAATCTTGGCAAATAAATATGGCAATTTGGTCACACCATATTGCCATACCACTTTTAACCAACCCAAGTGGTAAAACAGCATGTCAATGGGAAGGAGTGATTGATGGATAAATATGCCTGTGTCAAAATAAGTTAGTAAATATAGTGTGTGGAAGATCCAAACAGGGCCAAAGAGAGACTGAGCTGAGCTATGGAGGTGAGGGATGCGATGAGGGCAATTGCATGAGAGTAGCATCACCAAGGATGATGGTATGCTTTCCTAAAGAGGCTAGGGAAGAGTGTGGTGGCATGGGGTAGCAAATTCCAAAAGAATGGGGCAGCACTAAGAAAATCCTGCAGATGAACGTTGGCAGTGCAGAAATGAGCCAATATCCGGAGAAGGTCATTTGCAGAGTGAAGGCAATGAGAAATGGTTGCTTGTTGAGTAAAGAGGAAACGCAATGAGGAATGGAGTTAGTTAGGGATTTGAAGGTTTGTGTGTGCAGTTTGAATTGGATCCTTAAGGGTACATGAAGCCAATGTAATGTTTGGCAAATAGGTGAGGGAATAGCGGTCAGTCAGGAATATGAGTCTGGCTGCAGCATTCATTACAAACTGATGAGGGGCAAAGGGGGTGTTTGAAAGGCCGATAAGTAGTGAGTTGCAATAGTCAAGACTGGAAATGAAGAGTGGTCTGGTTAATAGGTGTCCCATTGACATGCATAGAGATTGATAGAGGAAGACTATATAAGGGAGGCGGAGATAGGATATTGAGTTCTAGAAAGATTAGGTTTTAGAAAACAGGAAGACATCCAGTTACAGATGGAAGAGAGGGAGTTTGTGAAGTGATCAGGATGGCAGGAGAAAGGTTAGTGGTGGAGATGTAAATCTGCTTATTGTGAGCATTTAGAGGGTATTAAAATCTAAAGGAGTTTAAAAGGTTACAGAGAGAAGCTCTGTAAATGGTGAATAAAAGAGGACACCAGAACAGAACCTTGAGGAACACCAACTGAGACAGGCAGTGTTAAAGAAAACAAACAAAGAATGCACACACAATAAATACCTGCAGCTGAATCAGTCAAATTTCACATACTAATCTAGCCACTGTTCCAGCCAATAACGTCTTTACTACTGAGTTTATATTCATTTATAAAAATGAAGTATACTATTTTTCTGATTTCTTTTACAGGGCATGCATTGTAAGCTGGTAATGGAGCATGTATTGAATGTCTTTATAATAGTTAGTATGTTAGAACATTACCTGCCACCTGCAATGCTGTTAAAATACAACTATACAACTAAGCAGAGGTAGCATTTCTGGATGATCATTTTAAGAATACTTGGACTACTTATTTTTCCTATCTATCTCCATCCCCTACAGTATTTCTGCTTAATTAATGACTATTGCACCCGTCATCGTTAACTCTTGTTTAGTTCAACATTTGTTTTTATTAGTGTTAGTTTTTGCACTCAAAGCCTTGTTAATTTATGATGTTCCCTATTAATGACTTTCACCTATCTGATCTCTGCCATTCCCTCGTATCCTTAAATTTAAATTCTTTCTCCTCTGCTTTTTACTTGGTTTATTTTCAACATCTCAATGCTTCCCCACCCACAATCTGTTTTATCTAACCCTAGATTCTCTCTTGTAACCTGGGTCCCATGCAGCATTTCAACAGCTACTCCCAGAATTCAGTACCAAAGCCTTAAGCAGAGGTAGCATTTCTGGATTAACATTTCCCACCCACACACCCTCCCCGGGGCACTCATTACATTTATAGATAGCTCAAATTACCTGGCTTTCCTGACAAACCAATCATGTCCACCAAGCCCTCCACACCTAAAATAGCTTAATTCACACAATGACTACCTTTTAACCATTAACCCTCCTAACCTCATCTATGATTTTCACAGCTCAATTCTCCATATCTTAAAAACACAGCACCTATTCTCCTAATAATGTTCTCCTTTATATTTTTCACTTTCTCCCTTACTTCCTTAATTATTAAAATCTCTCTATCCTTTTATTTACCTGTTCCTGCTGACACCATATTAATTTCTCCCTCTCTACTTCCCTCATCTCCGTCTTAATCACATGCACTTTACTCATATCTATCCAGCCTTTCTTCACAAACCGCTCCTAAATTCCCTCTCATCCCAAACATTTAAAAAACATCCCAAACAAGCTCTCATCACAAACATTTAAATCTTTCTTCCACCTTCTCTTCCTTTCCATTCTACTGCTCCTGGCAGCTGGTGATGTCTCTCCAAACCCTGGTCCCTCCTCCACTAAGCCACCTGGTGCTAACATCAGAAATCACAACAATCTAATTTCCATTCCAAGTAACTCTCGCTATAATTCCTCCTTTAAAGTGGCCCTCTGGAATTGATGCTCTGTGTGCAGCAACGTTAAATCAACTTCCATCCGTGATCTATTTATCACACACACCCTAAACTTACTCTACTTAACAGAAACATGGCTTTCTCCCGCTTATACTGCTACCCCTGTCTCACTATCCTTTGGTGGTCTTCACTTTACCCACAACCCAAGACAGGCTGAGAGTAAAGGTGGCGGTGTAGGATTTCTGCTTTCATCCCACTGCTCCTTTAAAATATGCCCCCCTTCCTTTCTTTCTCCAGCTTTGAAATTCACTCAGTGTGTCTGTTCAAACCCATCTCTGCCAACATAGCTGCCACCCCCCCTGCTCCCCCCCTGGTTCCCCTAGTCTGTCCCTTGACCATTTTTCTGCTTGGCTTCCATACTTCCTTTCAGGTAATATCCATTCCCTAATTCTCTGAGATTTCAACATTCCCATTAACCCATCCCTGACCCCAGTAGCTTCCAAACTCCATTCTATTACTTCCTCCCTTGGCCAATCACAGTGGGTTAATATTCCCACACATGTAGCTGGTAATACCCTCGATCTTATTTTTTCTAATGCATACACTATATCTCTAAGCTCCAACACTCAATTTCCTCTCTCAGATCACAACCTCTTATCATTTGTTCTTGAAAGACCCCTCACCCAACAGCCTCACTGTAAGCACCCTCAACTCAGAAGGGACCTGAATTCTCTTGACCTCCAGCAACTCTCAGCTGAACTCTCAGCTCAACTCATTCATCCCCACTTTCTCATGTCCCTCTCTGGCTATTTCCTCATATAATGCTACCCTCACCTCACGCTGCAGCCCTGCTCCAAAGATGCACCTCAAGGAAGACGCACCTCCAACCTTGGCACACTAAATCGACCCATTACCTGCAGAGATGCTCCCGTTCCACTGAATGCTGCTGGAGGAAGTCCAGCACCTTGTCAGACTTCCTCCATTATAAATTAATTTTGTGTTCATATAGCACAGCCCTCACCCTTGCCAATCAATCCTACTTTTCCTCTCTTGTTAGTTCAAGCTCACATAATCCCAGGCGTCTCTTTAATACCTTCTCCTTCACCTGCCTCAAGCCATCTTTCAATCTGACCTTAGAGCAGATAGCGTTGCATGCTACTTTACTGATAAGATTGAACACTTAAGGAAATAATTCTACCCCTTTTGCTCCTCCCTCTCTCAACCACACATGGACCGTACCTTCCCACCTTATCATATCTCCCCTTGTCTTGTACCATCCTTAACACACCCTAAACTGCTCTCTTTCATCTGGTGTTGTCCCTGCTCCCCTTAAGTATGCTACTGTCGTACCCATCCTAAAAAAGCTTTACTCACTTCCTAAATCAAAACTCCCTCCTCAATCCTCTTCAATCTGGCTTTCGCCCCCTCCCCTCTACTGAGACTGCTCTTATTAAAGTTACAAATGACCTAATCACAGCTAAATTCAAAGGCCTCTACTCCATGCCAATTCTTCTTGACCTCTCTGCTGCCTTTGACACTGTTAATCATGTCCTCCTCCTCCAAACTCTTCAAACCCTCAGCCTCTGTGCCACTGTCCTCTCATGGTTCTCCTCCTATCTCTCCCAACGCTCATTCAGTGCCTCCTTTTGCAATTACACCCTGTCCAGGTTGGAGTACCCCAAGGTCCCTATGTGGTCCCTATGTGTTCTCTCTTTGTACCGCCTCTCTTGGGAAACTCATTGCCTCCTTTGGATTCCGCTACTATCTGTAAGAAGATAACACCCAGATATATCTCTCCTCCCCTGATCTCTCCCTCGCAGTCCTGCAACATTTCACTGCTTGCCTTTCTTCTATTTCTGATTGGATGTCCTCCCGCTTTCTGAAACTCAATCTCTCTAAAACTGAGCTTCTTGTTTTCCCCCTTCATAATGTTGATCCACCTCCTTTGTTCTCCCTGTGTCATGGCTTACCTTAGTGGGAGTCCTGTATGCAGAGATATGCTCACCCTTGCAATTAAACACAGGCCAAGAACTCACCTGGCCTGTCAGCCTGTGCACGAGAGCTGTGCAGGATGATGCTCCAAGTCGCAGTACAGATATGGACATAAACAGGAGAATCGTTGTGGGTAAGCCAAAGGTCAGTGGGTGCCAGAAATCAGGATAAACGAGTAGAGAGCCGAGGTCAGAGGATGCCAGAAGTCAGGATACATGAAATAACAAGGTCAGGAATCAACAGGAGAACACTGGAACATGAACAGCAATACGAGAACCAGAGGCAGTGAACTGACACTGCCCTCTGGGAGAGGCAGTGTCTTATACCTGGCTAATAAGGCCATCAGCTTCAGGTGTGCTTGAAAATGTTGGAGCAGCCACATAATAACAACCAGCCCTCAGTGCTGGATACAAGGCAAGGTTATACTTCAGGCAATTACTAGAGCTGTATAGTGGCAAAACAGCAGGTCCAGGACTGCAAAGTACCCAGGTTCAAATCCCTCATCGGGCACTTCTGGGATGACCTCGTCTGGATGTCGCGGTGAGAACCATGACACCCTGCAAGTTGATGGTGCTTGAATCAGTCCATCCTTTCAAGCTCTTTGTCTTGGTGCTATCTTTGATTCTGGCTGATCTTCCTCACCCATTGTTCATCCTCTGTCGATCCTTACACACGCTTCCTGTATCATATAGGTGTCAAATCAAAATACTAAAGCTTACCAATAAAGCTCTAACCAGCTCTAACCCCTCTTACATTTCTTTCCTGTTTCATAGATTTGCTCCTTCTCGGTCTCTCCGCTCTGCCAGTGACCTTCTCCTGTCCGCTGTTCGCACCCTTACTGCTAACTCGCGCTTGCAGGACTTCTTGCGGGTGGCTCCCTTCTTTTGGAACAGCCTGCCTACCCCTATCAAACTCTCCCCTAGTCTTCAGTTGTTTAAGAAGAGTAACGTATCTATACATACCCAAGTCTGTCTCTTGCTCTCCTAAAGAGCTATATTCCATTCTCACCTCCAGCTCTGCTATTTTTCCACCTTGTTTGGTGGCTGTCATCTTTGCCGCCCTGTTGTGTATTTGTACCCCACCTTATTTAGGCTGGAAGCTCATTTGAACAGGGTCCTCATGTACCTATTGTTCCTGTGTCACTGTGTAATTATCTCATGTATTGTAAATTCCCCCCCACCCCCCTTCATAATATTGTAAAGCGCTGCAGAATTAGTTTTTTGCTATATAACTACCAATAATAATAACTATAACATTTGACACATGTTGTAGTGTTGGAGGGGGTGAGGCACCATTTTCACCTCCACTGCAAAAATGTAGGGGGCAGAAAAGAACACTGAGAGATATTAGTTTCACAGCAAGAAAACAAAAGCTGAAACAAAGCTATTTTGGTGACTAAATTTACAGGCTAAATTTGTTTTTGCTTTTCTATCTCAAAATGTATGCACCTATTTGGGAGTGAGAGATTGTAAAATGTAATTGTACAAACACACAAGCATATCCATTTTTTTTATAATTTGCATTTGTTGAATAAGAACATGTCAAACATTGTGTTTTGTTTTCTTGGATTGTTCCCTTATTTTTCTCGCATCATATTTATAGCATTAATTTGAAATTTACAGGCCAACCATTTGATAACATCATGATTCTAAATGCCTCAGTTGCAAATATAATAGTGGGAATATTACTTGGACGACGAATGGATTTTGAAGATAAAACATTTCAGAGACTCCTGTTTTTGCTAACTGAAAACGTGTTACTTCTGGGAACATCAGGAGTTGCGGTAATATCGGAGTGTTAAAATGTGTACTTAATTATAAATGTAAGACAGCATAAAAATATTAATCTTCGAAAACATATACATATGGGGTTTATTCATTTACATGCACGTAGCAAAGCATTTACAAGGGAATATACAATTTTAGGCCATGATAACTGAAAAGTGAAAAACATTTTTCAATCCCAACTATTTTTGCCTAAAACAAAATGGGCGAGCTTTGTTAATTTTGTACAGTGCACTCCCATTTATAGAAACACGAGTTAAAAAACAAAACAAAAAACAATACCATGTATTGAACTAAATTTATTTATTTTTTTACAGCTCCTTTGGTCTTTTCCTCTATTGGTGACTTTCTCACTTAATCTGCGAAGCAAATGGCGGGAATATGTTCTTAGCAGTGTATTGCAAAATATATACAGAATATATAAAAAGCAAAAATTGGATAGCACTCCCAGGACTTGTAAAAATAAAACTTAGCTAATGTTGCTTTATATTAAAAGGTCAAAATGTCCAAGTTTCAGTTTGATATCTCCAAACTTTCATCAGGACCCCACCGGCCATCAATGAGTGTGGTTTGGGGGACACTATGTCTACCTGCTCATTCTATTTTGTAGCCCCTAGTCATTGCCACCAGGTCCCTTGTTTATTTTAATGGCCCCCATTCACATGGCAGTGTGGGGACACCATTGTGACGTACCACCTGGCACCCCGGCTGGGTACCTCCGCCAACAGATGCTTCCTAGCTGATGCTGAGGACCGTAAGCACCGCACTGCAGACTCCACAACAACTGTAGTTTAGCTGGGATCTTCTTCACACCTTGGACCAACCTCTGATATCCAGGACCATCTGGGAAAGACCTCTCCTACTCCAGAGAGAGTAGCAGGAACAGCTCTTATAAGAGCTAGTGATTAGAACCCAGGGGAGTATAAGGAGTATAGCAATCCCCAGTGTGACAATGGCAATATAGCAGTTCCCCTCCAATCACGAGACGAGGCTATGTGTTGCGAGTTAAGCAGGAACACACTTTTAATGGTGCCACACTGGCCTTTTATGCAAGTCCCCATGCAAGGGAACACCCACCTGGACCTTGTGGGGAACAGGATGACAATTGTTACAAGCCAATGATAATGCAGTACAGTATGTGACACTCCCACACATTACACACAATCCCTCCCCTCAGCCTAGGAGATAATTGAGTCAAGTCCTGTATGTAACTCAATTATCTCCAGGCAGAAAAACACACATTTTCATGAAGTATCATAAGTACCCCAAAACACAACATTTCCCCATAAAAGTCACATCTCCCCATAGCCCTGATCTAGGTGAACTGTCGGTCGGTACCTGAGTTAGTCGAGTAGCCCACCCACAACAAGCAATTGCTGGACCTGGTGACTCTTGTAGTCTGTCTCTATCCTATAGCCAGTGTTACTGCTGCGTAGTGGGGGGAGTTGCTAGTTTGACAGCACTTCTGCTAGGTTGGCCTGCAGGTAGTCAGGCCCTGGACAGCAGTGCTCTACCCTGATGCCAGCTCTTCTGCTGGAGGGGGGGTCAGTGGGTATGGCAATCCCATCCACTAACCCCAGGGCCCGGCTGGGAATTGGCTGTGGAGGGGAGAAATCGCTTACCTCCTCCTCCTGATATATCTGCGAGGTTAGTTAGGGATCTGGACCGGACGTCCAGCATCCCTGTAGATCCAGTACAGAGATCTCGGTCCCATCTGTACTATTGGGGTAAGGGTTGCTGACCCCCTGTAGCTGGACCACATGTCTCTCCCAGTATCTCCGGCTGCTGCTGGAAAGAGAGATCGATTGTCTCCTCTCCCTGTAAGGTACACTGCCGCTGGGGAGAGAGACTGGCTGTCTCCTCTCCCTGCAAGGTACACTGCGGCTGGCGAGTGAGTCTTTACTCTCAGTAACTCTGGCTGTTGCTGGGGATCTGGGCCCGTTGCCCAGCATCCTTGTAGGGCCGGTAGAGAGACCTCAGTCCCATCTCCACTTGCCATTTTGAGTTTCTCTCCAGACCCATCTGTAAGGTCCCCATGTAATTGGAAGGAGGGATCACCTGTCTCCCCTTCCGGTATATCTGACTGTTGTTGGAGAGTGAGGCCGGCTGTTCTCCACTCCCGGTAGAATACACTGCTGCTGGGGAGAGAGACCAGTTGCCTCCTCTCCCTGTAATGTACACTGCCACTGGGGAGAAAGGATGACACTTTCTGCTCCATGTGATGCACACTGCCACTGGGGAATAGGACTGACCGTCTCCACTCCCTGTAACTCCGGCTGTAGCTGGGGATCTGGGCCGGCTGCCCAGTATCCCTGTAGGACTGGTGGAGAGACCGCTGTCCCATCTCCACCTGCCATCTGGGGGTCTTCCCAGGACCAGTCTATGATATCTGTCCAGCCAAAGGGCTCTAGTTCTGGATCTGACACCCTGCTCTCCTGCAGTACATTCAGAATATATTGGGACTGACTGGAGCTGAGCAGGTACTGGTACTCCTGCTCCAGATCACATTCCCTGACGGCAGCAATAGGGAGATCGAGCATGGCTTCTCTGTAGTCATGTATGTCCCAAAGCTGTGATTCTGCAGCATTCCTGAACTCTGGTTCGGCAAAGGCTTCCCATAACAGGTCAGGGCTGTTGTAATCCTTGCCCTTAGGTCTGTCGTACTTAGCCATCCCGGGAACACACTGAACCGCGTACCACCATAGCACCTGGTACGTGTCATTGAGCCACAGTTTCCTCCATACCAGTAAATCAACCTGCTTCACCCACTCCCACCTTGGCTTTTCTCCCAGCATAGGCATCCGCATTTCCCCTGGGGCCTGTAGTCGCTGCTACTCGCTGGGGAGATGCTCACCTTGCCACAGCTCTTTTCATCCTATAGCTCTTTTCTGGCGTACTCTCTGTAGTCCAACATGGCCGCTTCTGATACTGGCCCATCCTGTAATGTCAAGAGGTTCAGCAGACAGACTCCGGCTGAAAACCCGTCTAATTGGGATCACTCTGCAGGCAAAGTTTATCATCCCAATCAGCGATTGCAATTGCCGAAGGGTCACTTTGCGCGCATGCACCACAGCGGCCAGAACACCCTGCAGCCCCTCCAGCTTCGCAAGCGGCAGCCGACACTCTTGTCCACCGCTAGCGGCACCCCAAATCGGCCCGCCACCCATTTGATGATTCTCAGCAGGTGCAGGCACGCAGGAGAGTCAGCTGGCCCTACGCAGAGGAAGTCGTGTAGGTAATGCACCACCGCTCTGCATGAAATGGAACAGCCCATCGGGAGGCATAAGTCCACAAAGTATCCCCGCCTGGTCGAATGATGCATAAGAGACCGAGCACAAATCTTTGTCAATATCGTCATTCACCGATGCTCCTTTTGGGTAGGAGAGGTGGTGAATGAGACTGAACTTCCCCACAACCTTCTTGGGGACCACCCCAAGAGGGGAAACCCTTAAGCCCTCCAACAGTGGTACCAGGAACGGGCCCGCCATCCTGCCCAACAGCACTTTCTTGCCAAGTTTTTCCCGGACAAATACCGGGAACTCAGCCACCGATATGAGATTACGCAGCCCCCGCGTCTCGCCCCTATCCCGGAAGGATATAAAGAACCCTCGCTCAAAACCAGCCCTGAGTAATTCGGCATCCACCCTATTACCATATTGGTTTAGCCAAGGCTCCGTCGCGTCTAGCCTCACTTTGGGAAGGCGGCCAACGAGGCGGACTGCCCCTCTGCGCCGGCCGTGTGCTGAAAAGGGCTGCACCTTCTGCGCCATCATCAGCTTCATCCAGAGAGGTAGGTCCATTTGATCCCACCTCATACCTGGATTGGCCGCCAGCCACTGCCGGAACTGCTCATCGTACAGCCACCAGGCCAGTACACAATAGGTGCGGTACGCTTCCCAAATTCCGTCCAAGTAGCAGAACAGGGATGAGCATGAACCCGGCGATTTCTCGCCCAATATGCTGGCCAGAACGCCCTCAACCAGTTACCAAAGGACTTCGGTATCTTGCAATACCGCTTCCGTTTCTCCTCCTCCTCTTTTTTTCTCATGTTTCTCATCTTCCTCCTTGAGGTCAATAAAGTCCTCCAAGGGAAGAAGGGAAAAGATCTCACAGAACTCCTTTTTCCAAATCTTTTCCTTCACCTCCTGTTTGAGGTGAACCCCCAGCGGGGGTCAACTCCGCCCTATTGCTCTCTGCATCCACTGCACCGCCACCCCAGCATCTCCGCTTGAACCAGTCCCCGCAGAAATCCCCTCACAGGACCCCGCGACCCCAGCCCGTCATGCCCACACCTGACCTACATTACCTCCTGTACCACCTCTCGCCCCCATTGAGTGGAGTAGTGATTGTAGTGTGTGTACCAATGTGCTGGATTTTAGTGATTCACAGGACTCACCGGCCAAGGCCCTAGTCCCAGAAGTGCCCGGGGCTGCATTGCAAACTGCCACATGTCCAGGATGAGCGACATCCGTCAACCGGGAAGCCCACCCAGCACCTTGACAGCGCTGAGGAGGAGTGGCTCTGAGATCTGAAATGAGATGTCCTGGGTAGGGTGTATTGATCCCATGCTACCCTCCCGTCCCGACCCTGAGAGCGCCTGCCTGCAATCAAAGCATACCGTCGTGTGCCGCCTTACCTCTGCACTCCTGGGGACCAGACAGCCGCACCCCGGGGACTGCGACTCCTACCATCCCCACCCAATGACCGCCCCCATCGATTATGCCTGGGAGACCCTGCCCTATCCTCCGCTGAACTACCAGATATGGACCGGCGGCGCTGCGACCTCCCTTTCGTACCCCCAGACACCGAGACCCTGACTGGCGAAGGGCTAAGGCTGCTAGACCCCGAACGGGACCTACCTATGCCGCCCTCATCCTGCCCAGCAGCGCGGCCCTCCTGACCCACCTGTCTCCTAGATACTGCCCTCTCAAACGCCCCACGGTCCCTGTGTACCCCTGACTACCGATGGCGCGGGGGTATACCCCTAGAACCCATGTCGATTTTCCCACCCACCTTTCCAGCTAGGCCTAAGGACCGCCCTGTATCCCCATCCCTTCACCTGGAGCCACTAAACCCCTTGCACCTCCCCAGCCGCCCCCCCCCCATTCTACCTGTGGCCCAGGGGAAACTCGCCCACTCCCAACCATATCCCCCTGGCCACTAGCCCCGGGCTGCGCTCCCCCACTGCATTGGTCACCAAGGTGTCCCCAGCCAGAGCCCCCTGCACTTGCCTGTTGTGCCAGGGGTCTGCCGTCCACGACCTCAGGTGGAGGGGGCTCCCTCCCGGGCCGTGACCCCTTCCCGGTAGTCACTCCAGGAGGCCGCCCGTCCGCAATCGTGGCCTCCGCCTCCTGGCGCGGCCCGTCTGACCTGGGAGCCGCCCCGCAACTGTCCAAGGCAGTTGCCCGTCGAGGCCCTGGCTGCGCGATGGGAGGCGGGGCCTCGACCATGCGGCTGCTGGGCCTGCTGCGGCCTGCTCCTGCCGCCACTCGGCCTCCCAGACTGTCTTAACCGGGTCCTGCGCCCGGGCTTAGCCTCCTTGTTGGACTTCTGGCGTCCTCTCCCGCCATACCACTCCACCGCCAGGGCTGGTCCAAGCTGGGCCCGTACCCAGTCCGCTCCCTATTGCCGCACTGCCGACCGGATTCCCTCCAGGAGCCTCTCGATGTCGTCCATGGCCCTGCAGAAAGAGAAAAAAAAAACACCAGGCCAAATCTTAGGGCACAGGTGTGCACAGAAACTCGACCAGGTAGGAAATTAAAAGTGACTCATCTAAAATGGCTACCTATTTAAATAGCCAAACCCAACTACCCATAACTCCAATCCCTGCTTGCTTCCTCCTATGCCCACCTCCTAACCCCTGTCAATCCTGCTGAACCATTATCTTTAGGCAGATTAGATAGTGTTTAGATACTATTTAGTACCATCTTGCTATCATCTCCACTTAGCAACTTATTTTTATTACTGATTGACTCCACTGTGAGGACTCCATACTTACCAATCTTCCTGTGCAGTCTCAATCAGTCCTGCTTTATTGTTTACATTGCTGTATTAATTCCTAATACTAGTAGGCATTTTTAACAGGGTATGGATTTCTAATACCTTTTATATGTTCACTGATTGTACACAAGCATATTCACCACATGTTAAGATTTGTTAATATTAAAAATTATTTTTTTTTTTATTTTATTGATCTAGTACTATCTCTGGTAGCAACTAGTCTAGTATCTCTGAGATTTGACAGTCAGTCATAATTTCTGATTTATATTTCAGACTGTGTAGGTACACTATTTTTTTTCTTTTTTGAGTTATAGGTGAATTTCAATGTTTTATTCAATAGTGTCATTTATAGAGAATTGTCAGCTCCATATGTATATATAATTATGTAAAATAAAGGTAAGTCAACCTAAAAACTGGATGGTTAGTGAAAAAATATATAGGTTTCTACTTTTCTTTTTCATTTATATTTTGATTTATTTATGCAGATATACAATATGTACCCTATTTTTGGAATTTTTCCTGGAAGTCATAAAGAATTTTTCAGAAATGTGGAAGAACTCTATGCATTCCTTAAAAAAACGTTCGTAGAGCATATGACCCATTTAGATAGAGAAGATCAAAGAAGTTTCATTGATGCATTTCTTGTACGGCAAAAAGAGGTATGTGGCTGTAAAAGCATAACCTTTAAATGCTCTTTTCCACCTCTATTAACCTGCAACTGCCATAGTTGCCACTTGTTATTTCTGTACCCCCTTTATCGCTTTTGACAATGACTAAACATAATATAATACTTATAGTAAGCTCACTGATACTTCTGTTTTTCTAAATTTAGGAAGCAGATAACCCAGAATCATATTTTGATAACCATAACCTAACAACTCTTGTGAGAAACCTGTTTGCTGCAGGAATGGAAACAACCGCTACCACTATTCGTTGGGGTCTTCTGATGATGATTAAATATCCAAAAATCCAAGGTAGTACTAAAAATCATTATACACGTATTTGTAGGGAGTTTTTTTATGTTTATATTTTTAACTTTAAGGCAAGTAAAAAAAACTCACAGGCACTCCAAGTGTAAAGCGGCAGGCAGGTTTATTGCAACAAAATGCACCGCAACATTTCGACCTGACTAGAGGTCTGTGTCAAGCTTGACAAAGACCTCTAGTCAGGTCGAAACGTTGCGGTGCCTGTGAGTTTTTTTATTTGCCTCATCGTGTTGGGATTGCTGGTCTTGCTCTGGAGCACCCGTGGCCGCTGTGAATGAGTGCAGTTCCTGCCATCAACTTTGCTATATCTTTAACTTTGTGATGCGATATATTATTTATTAGACTAAAGGGTGTGTATGTATATGTATGTATGTGTGTGTGTGTGTGTGTGTGTGTGTGTATATGTATGTATATATATATATATATATGTGTGTGTGTGTGTGTATATATGTTCAACTTGGAACTCACAGAAAGGAATACTCCAACAATCATTGTGCTTTAATGGGTGTGGCCTCCAGAGTTCTTTTCTCACCAATGTATGTAGTCAAAATGTTTGCTAACAGTTTGGCAACTCATCTGAGGTCTGCCAGGGGCCAGTCACTTACTCCACTGAGAGCCAGATGCTTCTCTCTTTAGTTAGATCTCCTCAGCTAAGTCTTGCTACGCATGGCCAGTTCATTAGTCAAGAGTATTTGTTTATTGTTCTTAGCCAGTGAGCTTTGTCCTGGTTACTGGTTATTTTTTTTTTGTTTTCAATATATCATTTTTATTGATTTAAAAAAAAAAAACAAGAAATCGGTAAAACGTAGCAAACATTGAGGAAATATCCTCATTTGAAAAACAGTTTGTATAAACATATGTATGTTATAGAATCTACATCAAAATTATTAACATATGAGTATTATAGATGTCGCGAACCATTCGCGAACGGTTCGCCACGAGCTGTTCGCAGGGAACTCCGGTCAGCTGACACATCCCGGCCAATCTCCAGCAGACCCTCCCTCCCAGACCCTCCTACTTCCTGGACAGCATCCATGTTAAGCTCACTGATACTTCTGTTTTTCTAAATTTAGGAAGCAGATAACCCAGAATCATATTTTGATAACTCCAGAGTTCTTTTCTCACCAATGTATGTAGTCAAAATGTTTGCTAACAGTTTGGCAACTCATCTGAGGTCTGCCAGGGGCCAGTCACTTACTCCACTGGATGCTGTCCAGGAAGTAGGAGGGTCTGGGAGGGAGGGTCTGCTGGAGATTGGCCGGGATGTGTCAGCTGACCGGAGTTCCCTGCGAACAGCTCGTGGCGAACCACGGCGAACCGTTCGCAAGAAGTTCGCGGACGATTCCCGACATCTCTATTGAGTATTATTAAGTAACAAACTACATAAACATTTGTATATCTTCCGGACCAGCTTTGGTCACCTTCAAAAAACAAAGTAATATTGGATCAACTATAGTTACATTCATATTTTAAGATTGACAGTCATTAGAAAACCTTCTGTTACAAGATGCATGGGTGTGTGCTGCTAAGCATGGTTTATGATAAAACATTTTGATAACGATTAGGTATTTGAGTAAACGGTGTTACAGAAGAGACTTCCAATTGGGCTCCTGTTTTGTTAGATATATAACATGTATTTTTTTTTATTACTATGTGTCAGTTAGAATTGCTTACAAATCCTACAAGTGAAGAAAATGTTTTACCTACAATATGTCTCTGTCATAGGGGATTCATTATTTGCCGGGGACTTAAATATTTTTATTTTATTCTTTATTAAAATGCAGGGCCATCATCATGGGGTGACAACTATAACAGTTGTAACAGGCCCAGCCATCCGGACCCTTCATTCCAGATCTGGAGCAGCAAAACTGCTGCCAGTGCAGATGCAACAGGGCCCGCACGCTGGTGGGGCCCATCGGTTGGCACTCAATGAGCATATGTCTTCAAGGGTCCACTCAGCATTGCAGCCCTTTAATAGTGTGATTGTGACCCTCTAAAAATGCCAGCCACAGCTGGTGCTGGGAGAAAGCTTACTCCACATGGGAGGGAGGAGACCGAGTGGAGTCAGGGAGGAGGGTAGAGCCAAATCAAGTTCCAATAGGCCCAGCCACCTGCCTGCACTCAAAAGTTGGCTAGAAATGACCTGCATGTGTGTGTGTCAGTATTTATGTATGTGTGTCAGAATGTCTGTGTGTGCGTCTGTAAAAATTATGGTAGGAGCCGCACTTAATCCCAGCAGCCACCCGGTGCTCCGGAGCAGGACCAGCAATCCCACAATGACAAAGCAACAAAGAAATCCCCCAGGCACTCAAAGTGTTAAAGCCACAGGCAGTTTTAATGAAACAAACAAGAACAGCAATGTTTCAAACTCCTAAAAGGTATTTTTCAAGCTTGAAAAAGACCTCTTATGAGGTCAAAATGCTGCTGTTCTTTTTTGTTTCATTAAAACTGCTTGCGGCTTTAACACTTTGAGTACCTGGGGAATTTCTTTGTTGCATTGTGTGTGTGTCTGTGTGTACATCTGTGTATGTATCTATGTGTGTCTGTATGTCGCTGTATATCAATGTGTATGTTTGATTGGTTGATTATATATTTCCTACCTGTTCTATATTAAATTTTGTATTTATTGTGTATTAATATTGTTTTTGTATTTTATTGTACCCTAATGTAACAATGCAATGATTTGTGGACCCAGGGCATACTTGAAAACGAGAGAAATCTCAATGTCTCTTTCCTGGTAAAATATTTTTTAAATAAATAAATGTCAGTGTGTGTCTGCATGTCAATATATGTGTCTATCAGTGTGTGTGTCAGTATGTCTGTGTGATTGTTTCAATGTGTTTGTGTGTATCTGTGTTAGCATGTATGTCTGTGTGGCAATATGTGTGATTATATCTTTGTGCATATCTGTGTGTCAGTATGTGAGTGTATTTGTGTGTCTGTGTCATAAAATTTTTGCATGTAGGCAAATATTCTTTATGTAGATGTATGACTGTGTTGGTGTAATTACAATGACTTTGAATAATATATTAAAATGTACTAATATAAGTGTATGTTACTATCTCTAGAAAAGGTCCAAGAAGAGATTTCGCAAACAATAGGGTTAGCACAACCCAATTACAGCCATCATGGACAAATGCCCTATACCAATGCAGTGATACATGAAATCCAGAGATGTGGTGACATTCTTCCAATGACGGTGGCACATGAAACCACAAAAGATGTCAACTTCAGAGGATATTTTCTTCCTAAAGTGAGTCCCACGTTTATCTGGAATGGTAAAATAACATAGTAAAATAACATTCTGATTGTAAAATCAGCTGATGGGATTAGCTGCAGTTAAGAAATTTAACACGAAAGAAGATAATGAAGGTGAGGAATAAGAGAGAGAAGGGATTTAAAAGGCACTGTATGTATCCAACACCAGCAGAAAATAGAGATGTAATATATATATATATATATATATATATATATATATATAAGTTAATTTAAAATATGATTATTTAAAATTCATCTGTACTCAAAGGAGAGGAGAAGGGTAGATAATTCTATGAATAGAGATACATTTAACTGATATCAGAAAAGAAAATCTTTTCACTGAAGTGTAAGATGAATGATTCATATTTTGTTGTTGTTGTTATTATTACTATTATTATTATATTGCTAGGTCCAGCAAAATGCTTACCACAGATTATTAGAAAACCTTTTAAATTGATTAGGTATAAAATATAGATTTATTTCTAGACGTGTAATTTATCGAGCTCCTTGTGTTCTGTCTCTAGGACAAAGAGCTAAACATTCCTGCTCCATAAACTCAAGGCCGGACTGGGGATTCCAAAGCAGCCCTGGAAAAAAAAATCTATGCCAGCCCCATAAGTCGTTGCACCATATATTGTCGCATGTAATATGTAAGGCTATGTCTTGCCATCCTAGATGATTGAGATAGATATATATATATATATATATATTGCTTTTTCCAATACGATATAAAATATTGGTCCTTTCAGAGTAAAATTTGTAATTATACAGTAAGCATACTCACATGCAGACACAGACAATCTCACTGACACAAGCTGATTGATACACAGCCTCATAGACAAACAATCTCACTGATATTGACATAAAAACACAAGCTCACTCAGTAGCAGGCACACACACACACACACACACACACACACACAAGCAAGCTGTCAGGATTACTGTTTGATCCAGCGCGTAGAACTGTACAGCATGGATGACAAATAAGTAACGTATTACCGGTCCTTAGAATGGCCGGATTTAACGTACAAAGAATAGTCAAAAATACTAGCCGAGGTCAGGGAACACAGAAAGGGACACAGCGATGAGGAAAGCCAGGAGTCAGGATACCAGAATATAGAGAAGTCAATAAACAAAGCCAAAGTCAAAAACCAGGTAGAAAACTATAAACAGGAACGCGCTCTCGGACAACCACAAGGGAAACCCCGACAGGGCACTGAGCAGGCTGAGAACTGGGCCTAAATACCCCTCCTTTAGTTCTGATAGGCTGTAACCGGCCTTTGACCCCAAAGTCCGTTACCAGGTTTCATTTGCATAATTGCTGCTCAGCATTAACCCTTCTGTGGATTAGGTTGCTGCTCGGCACAACTTTTCCTGTGTGGACAGTAAATGTCATTAACCGCTTTTCTATAAGCGGATGAATACATGACACCAGGTTTCATTTGCACAATTACTGCTCAGCATTAAACCTTCTGTGGATTAGGTTGCTGCTCGGCACAACTTTTCCTGTGTGGACAGTAAATGTCATTAACCACATTTCTATAAGCGGATGAATACGTGACACAAGCCCACTCACTAGCAGGCGCGCACACACACACAGCTTAATGTAGTGGCTCTGGTGTCTATAGCCTGTCCCTGCAGGCTTTTCAGTGTAAACACTGACTTTTTAGAGAAAAGGCAGTGTTTACATTGCTTCCTAGTGACAGACACTCAGACGGTCACTAGAGGTGCTTCCTGTGTCAGTGCGGATTGGCTGAGATTATCAAGCTTGATGATCTCAGACATAGAGGCAGGGCCAGTCAAGGGGAGACCAGCACGATGTGGGAAAAAACAAAAAAGGTGAGGAAAAACACACATACACACACGCACATACCATGACAGACACACACCATGACACAGACAGACCGTGACACAGACAGAAACACACACACACCATGACACAGAAAGAAACACAGACACACCATGACAGACAGACACACCATGACACAGACAGACACACCTTGACATGCACACACACCATAACACAGAGTGTGACACAGACACACACACCATGACACAGACACACATTACATGACACAGACACACACACCATGACACACAGACACACACACACCACGACACAGAGAGACCATGACACACACACACCGTGACACAGACAGACACACATTACATGACACAGATAGACACACACACCATGACAAACACACACACACCATGACACAGACAGACCGTGACACAAACACACATTAGATGACAGACAAACACAATGACACAGACAAACATTGCATGACACAGACAGATGCACACACCATGACAGACAGACACACACACCATGACACACAGACACACAATGACACAGACACACATTGAATGACACAGACACACACACACCATGGCACAGACAGAGACACACACACCATGACACAGATGCACACACCATTAGAGACACACACACACACACCATGACAGACACACACACAATGACACAGACACACCACGACACACAGACACACACACCATGACACAGACAGACACACACACACACACACACCAGGACACAGACAGACACACACACACACCATGACACAGATAGACACACACATACACTCACACTGACACACATAATTGCTACCTGTGTGCTGGCGGCCGCATGGGGGAGCTGGCTCTCCTGGCGGCCACAGAGGGAGCTCTTTTGGTGGCCGCAGGGGGAGCTGGCTGTTCTGTCTCTGCTCCCCCACCCCAGCACACTGCTTAATGAGACCAGGGCCTGAATATGATGTCATATTCCGGCCCCGGTCTCATTAAGAGGTGAGCTGGTGGAGGGGGAGCAGAGACAGAAAAGCCAGCTCCCCCTGCGGCCGCCAAAAGAGCTCCCTTTGTGGCCGCAGGTCAGCCAGCTGCCTGCCCGGCCCCAGGTGCCGATGGCCCACTGGGAAATTTCCCGGTATCCCGGTGGGCCAGTCCTGCCCTGCATAAACTTCAGATACCATATTTGTTTGATCTCAAATGTATTAGAACAAGCCAGGTGAAACTACAAATGGTAGAAATAAACATAAATCAGTACAGTATTGTATACAACAAAGAAACAATGATCAATAATACAGGATAGGATGACAAGAATTCACTTTTTAAGCTCTCTAAGGGGTGATGGCTAGGGATGAGAAGTACATGACTTGCTGCTTACTGTATTTTCCCAAGGTGGAGGCTGATACACTTCCTGTACAAGTTCTGCCCATAATGCTGTGCTTTCTAACAACTTTATTTAAACCTCCTGAGTTACAATATATGCAGAACTAGAGCTATACCAAAAAATAACAGTAGATGAGCTCTACAGAACTAGCTGGTGTAAGTAAAGGAACCCAACATGTTATTCTAAACAACAAAACACAAATATACTGAATAAAGTCTGGAGGACAGAACACCTTGTTTCTCAACTACTGGTACGCATACACAAAGGGGTATGTGCACTAAAATCAGGGGGTGTGCCAAAACCTGGCTGACTGGCCACCTTACTTTAAGAATTCACACAAGCTATATATAACAATGTTCTTGTCTTTTTTCTCTCTTTCTTGTTTTATCCAGGGAACGCCGGTGATCCCAATAATCACATCTGTCCTGAATGACAAGACACAGTATCCCTATCCAGATAAATTTAACCCAAATAATTTTCTTGATTCAGAAGGAAATTTTGTGAAAACCGATGCTTTTATGCCATTTGGAGCAGGTATAGCACAATATCTTATTTCATGTTATGGGACCTGAAACTAGTTATTATGGAGTTATATTGTCAAATTCATTAGTGCAAATGGTTTTTGGATGTTGTGTGATTATGTTGCAAAACTGATTTTGGTGCCTAAAGGTATGTTCTAGTGATTTAAAAAAAAAAACTTTTTGATGATTTTAATTAGCCGATCTTACACTCCCAAGTTATCCTTTAACCCCTATGTGACGCATAACGGAAGTTTTATGTCATTTACTAAAGTTAACCCCAGATCGCCACGATTGCCACAATTCCCACAATTGTGGGTTTAACACTGCTCCAGACTGCCTCAGTATCTGAGGCAGATGAGTAGCACCTACTCAGGGGTTAAATGTATTTAAGTTAATTTTAAGATTATATATTTAGCTAGCTTGGGTGGTTGGGAGTTAGTTGGAAATTGGGGAATTCACTGTTAGGCTAGTAAGGGTTTCACTGTAAAAAAAAAAGTTTTTAAAAATTTTAATAGCATAAAGAAAAGTTTAAAAAAGTGAAAAAATAATTTAATAAGTAAGAAAAAGTTTTAAAATGTAAGAAAAAGTTTAACAAAGTAAAAAATATATATAAAGCACATGCTCATTACCACTACACCTGGAACAAACTAGCGAAAAAATTATCCCACGCCTTTTGAAACACCAGAGGGTGTAGTCTTTAAAGAATGGTATGCGTTTGTAGGGTAATTTAAATAGCCAACTTGCTCAACTACTCCATAATGGAACATACACCCAGTGTAAAAATTAAAAGTTTGAAAAAAAACTGAATGGCTGCGTCTCACATGTGCCCCTTCAACATCACCATATATCTGGCAAAGGTACATACGGGGATATTCCTTTTCTCAGACAATATAGCTAAGCAACCTATGAAGTCTTATACTGCCATAGCACGTGATGGACCACTTGGCACTCTGACTGGGTGCTTCCACCAACTGATGCTCCTAGTGCTCACCAAGGGCTCCAAGCACTCCACCCGACACCATCAGCACTGTAGTCCCCATGTCCAGCATTACAGCTTGGCTGGTAATGCGCCATCCTCCACCCACACTGGACCCAAGACCAGGATCCAGCTTACAGTGGGTGAATCTCTCCTACTCCTGAGAGAGTAGCAGGAACAGTTCTTAAAAGAGCTGGTGATTATAATCCCAGGGGAGTATAGTGATATAGCAATCCCCAGGGTAGACACAGCAGTTTCCTCAACACATGAGATGTTGAGGGTAAGCAGGAACTCAATTTTAATGGTGCCACACTGGCCTTTTATGCAAGTCCCCAATCAAAGGGTACGCCCAGATGGACCTTGTTGGGACAGGGACACAAAGCCTACAAACCTAGCAGAACAGTAATTAATTAATTAATCCCATAACAAACATACAATCCCTCCCCTCTGCCTGTGAGATAATTGAGTCAGATACTGTATTAACCCAAATATCTCCAGGCAGAAAAAAACACATATTTTACAAAACCCCATAAGTTCCCCAAAAACACATGATATCCCCACAATTGTTACATCCCCTGATAGCCCTTATCTGGGTGACCAACATATCCAAAAACACCCAGATCACCTCAGGGGTTCAGGAATTTCATGGAAGTCTTATTTTGACCAAGTGCATGCATTGTTTCATGCCCAAAACAGTTCCAGAGAATCAGGCTGTGAGGCTGGTCTACTTCTAGGCCGTTCATGGGTAAAGTCATTATATGTCGCTTGCTCATGCTCTTCTTCTTTTTATCGAATGCATTCGACTCCCATCCGAATAGCCGAACATCCATGGAAGGTAAATATTTAGCGTGAATGTGCCGTTGAGTGTCCAATTTGAGTTCCATGAACTCAACGACCAAACACCGCTCATTGTACTCGCGGTTTAAGATGGCCCCTACTTCATATTCGAATGTCAAATGGCAGCAACTTCGACTGTTCGGGAGTTCGAAGTGCTACTGTGCCAGTCCAAAAGGGGCACAAAAAGTATCTTTAACCCAAAGTTCACCACAGGGGCCATAGTCACAGGGCAGGAGGCTGGCAAACCGTCCCCTCCAAAAACCAGTGGCAAGGTTACTTTCGCCACATAGCACACATAAGGTTTGTGAAATATACAATAGAAGCTCACTGTGTGGGCAGTGGCATAGCAAGGGAGGAAGAGGGTAAGGGGGGAGGGGGCTGGAGGTCCACCCCAGCTGCGAGGTTCCTGCTCCCACCCAAATTGCCAGTGAAGTGACCCTCCTCCCACTTTCTGACTGAGACCTGGCAGCTGCTCTGCTTGCCAGGTCTCCTCCATAAGGTGCAGTAAGTGAGGGGAAGAGGTTGGACTGGAGGATGGGAAGTACCTTGACAGGACTGTGGAGTGCTGGCAGAGAGGAGATGAAGAGCAGACTGCCAGGTTGCTCTCTGCACAGCCTCCCTCCTCCCTTCTCCCTGCATCTTCGCAGATCCCCTTACTCCCTGCACAGATCCCCTCTCTCTCCTGTACCCTGACAGACCCCCTTTCCTCCCTGCAGAGATCCCCTCACTCCCATTAACCCTGACAGTTCCCCCTCTCCTGCACTGCCCCATCCCTCTGCTGCCCTGCCCCCTCCCTCCACAGATCCCACCCCTCTTGTCTCTACACTGCACAGCCCCCATCCCTCTCTGTACAGACCCCCTGCGCCCTCCACAGACCCCCTTCCTACCTGCACCTTCACAGACCTCCTTCCTCCCTGCACCTTCACAGACCCCTTTTTTTCTGCCCCCTCATTTCCCCCGTGCACAGGCCCCCTTTCTCCCTGCACTCTCCAAAACCCATCTGCACCTGCTCATCCATCCCTGCACCCTCCACAACCCCCCTCCACACATCCCATGCCTCCGTGCTAAAAAATAAAGTATATTTAGGCACTAAAATGGGTATGTCTGGTGCAGCCACAGACATCAGCGACTGCACCGGACATTACGTGGTTCAAGATAGGGACTGCAAACTAAGCAGCAACCACGGCCTACAAAGCTCTAGCTCTGTGTGGGTCAAAAAAGCAGAAAAAATACCTACTACTACACTTGGTACAAAATAGCAAAAAAATTATCCCACACTAAGGTTCAAAATATGTCTTTTGTAATACCCCGGGGTGTATTTTTTAAGAAATGGTATGTCGTTGTGGGGTAGTTTGAATAACCAACCTGCTCAACTACTCCTAAATGGGCTGTGGACACAGCAAAACAATTCAAAGTTTGAAAAAAAATGATTTTATATTTAGACTCCCTGAGATAGCCTTGTGGGGATACAGTTTCCATTCCGGGCAGTATCCATCTAATAACAGTGAGACCTCTAGTAACAGGTTGGACGGCACTACTATACAGACCTTAGTCTGATACTTTATTACATAGAATAATTTTGTGTTTTCACGGATAGCCTGTTTTTGTACATTTGAGTTAGTCTCTACGCGATCAGATCACTATATAGGCTGCAGTTAATTACTTTATTTAGATAACATTTACTGTTTACTAGATGTAGACCTGTAATATTTTCTGTTTATTTAGAAGCATCAAGCCCTTGTGGGCACTTGTATACAGATTTATTTACTTACCCTTAGGAGAGATAATTACAAGATATTCTGTGGAAAACTACATTTAAGTCTTCAAATGTGTTTTTGAGGACTTCTGTGGTACCTCCTGACAGTAATTGTCTCCACTTTTTGACACCTCTCCACTCGTTTAAAAAATTGCAGTTGTCGCATTTAGTATACATACCACGCAATTGTATTTCAAGCAATATAATAAAGGTAATTTACGGTACCCTAGCATTGGTATGTGTAGGTATAGTCTAATTTAGTATTCTTTTCACTACACTTTACACAACCATTTTTATTGGAACTCTATGCATAAATTTCACAATTTGTTTTCCAGAGGGAACACTTGTTTCGTTACTCTATACACAGGGTTTAGCCCTTTAATTTGGAAGACATATTCAGGAGAACCTTACTCCATCTATAATTAGTTGGAATATATTGCCTGCTAAAGTGCTCCAAAGTGGAAAACAGACCCATCAAAACAATCTATGAAAATTCACACTTAAAAACCTGAAATTGTCACGTCTCTTTTACAGCACTGTAACTTCACAAAATAGTGTCTAGGTCATACATTGGGCATATTGTTTTACTTAGAAGATGTAACTGATGTAACTAATGCCATTGTTTATCCTCACCACAGACATTGACATAAATTGGTGGAAAAATGGTGAAAAGTTAAAGCACTATATATATTTATAATTCAGTAACCAGCACTTGAATTTGCGACCGAGCTATTTGATTTATTAGTTTATTCATTTTTTCATGAATTCATCTTTATTAAAAAAAATTCTACTATCATATCGGCACTTGCTTAGTGGGAATGGTGGCAGGTGCCCTTGAAGGCACAGAGGGTGTGCTAGTTGGAGGATTTGAAGTATAGCTAGTTGATTGTGAAGCTATCAGCATCCTGACAAGTCTCTGTTTATATCTTGAAGAGTTAGCACTAACAGAATTCTATACACTGAGTACTTAGAGATCCAGCTATAGAACCCATTAGCAACTTCAAACTCCTACCCCCGAGTCTTTAGACTGCCTTCTCTGCCTGCCAAACGATCTAGATGTTTTCTCTGCCTGTTACAGATTGATACGTATATGGTATTCTGTGAGTAATAAGTGGAACACTAATAGACATATATACCTAGTGACGAATAGACAGTTTTGACTATAGGACTTCTATAACTCTATCTAGGTTTCTAATATAAGTTTAATTCTCCTTGATAAATTAAGCTCCTTTTTACCATTAGTATTATCCTGTCATTACCTTCATTCAGCAGTTTATCTAAATCACCGACTGCTGGGACTTTTTCTTTTGCGGTCTTAATCAGTCCTGCTGAACTGTTATCTTTAGGCAGATTAGATAGTGTTTCTATACTATTTAGTACTATCTTGCTATCATCTTCACTTAGCAATTTATTTTTATTACTGATTGACTCCACTGTGAGGACTCCATACTTACCAATCTTCCTGTGCAGTCTCAATCAGTCCTGCTTTATTGTTTACATTGCTGTATTAATTCATAATACTAGTAGGCATTTTTAACAGGGTATGGATTTCTAATACCTTTTATATGTTCACTGTTTGTACACAAGCATATTCACCACATGTTAAGATTTGTTAATATTAAAATTTATTTATTATTTTATTTTATTGATCTAGTACTATCTCTTATAGCAACTAGTCTAGTATCTCTGAGATTTGACAGTCAGTCATAATTTCTGATTTCTATTTGACTGTGTAGGTACACTATTTTTCTTTTTTGATAATTTCTACCTGGGGTTACCCCCCATTTTCTTAGTGTACCTAATTGTTGGCTCTACCTCTGCTCTTTTTCTTACATTCTTGGAGCCACCTTTTTGAATTAGCATTTTAAACAGATAAGAAGTAAACACACAGGTAACTAAAAGGTAGCAAAAGTGATATAAAATCATAAATCAATAATCAATTCTTTAAAACAATGAATGGGCTGCTTCACAACACGAAATCAAGCGGAACTAGTTATGAAAATAAACGTGTGAGTGGGCGCTCTAAACAACTCAAATGTATATTCCAGCAGCAAAAAGATCTAAACAGTTGATAACCTGAAAAGGTCTCAATCTGTAGCATCAATTAATGTCTGAAGGTAAAACTGTATAAAACAGCTAATATATCAGAAATATCATGAAACAAAATACATAGTATAACCTCTGAGTACCAACAACCTAGAGTGTGGAAGTATATAACACAAAAGGTGACACTATCGGATTCAGCAATCCATAAGTATAAAAAATCTCAACCAAACAAATACATAAATAACATTTATTAAATATAAAATAAAACACAATATATGTGGAATTATGAGGATAATGTTAATATGACTCCTTCACTGGAGAATTATCGGATAAGGGAAAAAATTAAAATAAATTCAATGTTTAGGAAAAAAATCTAACAATGGTAAAAAAGTGGGAAGAGATTCTATCAGTAGAACGCTGGAGGTGCATGCATGCTAAATTATACCGGGTAGATGGGACATAGAGCTCTTAAACCTTCCGGCTATCATGGCTCTGCTAAGGGTGTGCTGAGACGAAACCCCAAGCCTGAAAAAGCTCTGGTGGAATCCCTGTATCACTTACCCTGTTTGCCGCGCCAGAAGCTGGGTAGAGGAGCATGCCGCTCCACACTCACCCAATGTTGGAAAGACTAAATCTATTTTTGGCAAAAAACGTCAGCCGAGATGTCGTAATCCGGACCTCAACAAGTTAGTGCTGGAACTATGAGTGAAGATGATAGATTCAGTCATTTCATCGTACTTGAAGACTTTATCAAGACTGTGATCTTCCAAGAATCTGATCGGTATATATACCGATACTCAGAGCTAATTAAAAAATTTACTTGTGATTTTTTTTTTTTCGCAAAATGGCCGTTATTAAAGTGACAGTGAAAATAAATAATAAAAAAGGAATTGGACACAGATTTTAATAATAATAAGAAAAGAAACATTAAAAATGTTGAAACCTATTCCATACCCCTAAATCAAATGTGAACAGTATCTAGGGCTGATGCTTAAAAACACCAAATGCATTTAAAGTTTTTCCTGATAAAATTTATACACTTAAAGTAAGATTCAGACATAAAACACAGACAACATATTATTTAAAATCAGTCACATATTCAGTGACAAAAGTGACACAGTGAGTATTCACAACTACCCTAAAATGCTATAAAACTAAGCCAACATTAGGTCCCTACTTTCATATAGATTTTAACTTGAATAACAGCTAGTTGTCCAATAGGGAGACCCTATATGATCAACAGAAATCTGTAAAAGATATATAAAAATACTGATAAAAAATAAGTATCAATTGTCGGAATTAAAGGTCCAGCAAATACTGGATCTTAATATATATCTAGGTGGAGAAGAGTTAATCGGATAAAAAATGAGAAGCTAAGAAAACTAGAAAAAGAAAAAAGAACTGTGTAATCTGTTCTAAATCTTTATTTAGTCCATATTGGTTAAGGCTGTTGAGCCTGAAGATCCAGTTTGTTTCAGCCATAGTAAGGGCTTTTTTCCTATTTACAGTAAAATTATCATCTGAGATAAGTTGTATCCCCATCATTGAGATATGTTTAGAATTGCTGTAATGAACTGCCTGAAAATGTTTCGCCACCAGCGATTTTTATTTTTTATTTTTATTTTTTTATCGTTATGTAAAATTGCCAGTCTATGTTCCCTAAACTTAATTTTCAGTGTTCTGCTTGTCTGTCCCACATAGAGTAATCCACATGAGCAGGTGAGTACGTAAACAACATAGGATGAATTGCAGGTAATCCTAGAATAAATTGAATATTTTCGATCACTAGAAGAGGATCCAAATTCAGATTTCCCATGACAAATATATTGACAAGTGAGACAACGGATAGCACTGCATCTAATGTTGCCCGTAACGTGTTGGGGAAGATGATTTGGGGGTTCAATAGGAACTAATTTGGAAGGAGCTAAGATATTTTTCAAGTTCATATTTTTACTGAAGGTGACCCTAGGTTCCATGGGAATACTAAAGTTCAACCAGGGATCCAGGCGAAGAATAGACCAGTGTGTCTGTAGGATATGAATAATTTGGTCATATGCGTTGTTAAAAGTTGTGGTAAAAACGGGACCCTTATCCATTGAAACGTCTTTAGTGCTGATGGCGAACTTATGAGGATTCTTTTTAGGTCTGCACGGTTGGTTCATCAACAGGAGTGTAATGGACTGGTGGACATTAGTAGGGATGATTACAGGGGTGGGGGGGAATCTCCCTAAGAGGAGTGGTAAATACGTGAATTTCTGTCCAGATTCCTCTCCTTATTATAAGCATGAAGAATGGTTCGTGGATCAAATTCCTTTTCTAAAAAGCGCGTGTATAAATTTAAAAGCCTCTTCCTCAAAGTCTTTCAATAAAGTGCAATTTCATCTTAGCCTAATGAATTGTCCAAAGGGTATATTATTCACCCACGTCGTATGGTGACTACTAGTTGAATGCAAGTAGCCATTCACGTCCACTGGTTTCTTGAAGGTTTTGGTGATAATACGTCCAGTTTCTCCCTGTAGGATAAAATCCAAGAATTAAAATTTGACTTTGTTCTTAGTACTAGTAAAAGAAAGTCCCCATAGATTTGTATTCAGATCTGTCTATTTCGTTAAAATCCCCCTTCCAGATGACAAGGATATCGTCGGTAAATCTTTTATACAAAACTAAGTTTTCTCTCCATCGTGGATTATCTAAAGCATGCTGATGTTCCCAAAAGCCCATAAAAAGGTTAGCAAACGCCGGAGCAAAACTCACCCCCATTGCATTACCTTTAATTTGCAGATAATATTGTTCGTTAAAACAAAAATAATTATGGGTTAACATAAAAGAAACACTCATAAGTATGGCATCAGCTTGGTTTCGAGGGAGTAGAGGATCGGAGAATAAAAAATATTCCAATGCCTTAAGCCCTAGGTTATGGTCAATATTGGTATATAGTGCTGTAACATCAATAGTTATCCAACAGTAATGTTCTTTCCAATTGATCTCCTTGATCAGTGACAGTACATGGCTTGTATCTTTAATGTAGGATGACAAGTTAGTCACAAACTTTTGAAGATGAGTATCAACCCATTTAGACAGGGGGGCAGTGAGTGGGTCAATAGAGGAAATTATTGGTCTACCCAGGGGGTTGGTAACAGACTTTCTTTTTTTTTTTTTTTAGATTTTAGGTAAGTAATAAAAAATTGGATGTTGCCATTAGCAGATAAAAGAGAACCTTTTCCCTTTTCTCAATACATCCCATTGTAAACATGGTATCCACTAGTGTACGAAGTTCTTTCGTAAACTGGACAGTGGGGTTAAATGTGAGCATTTTATAGTATTGCTTATCCCCTAAAATGTGATTAGCCTCTTTCAAATAATCCTCTCTATTGAGGATAAAACTGCCACCACCCTTATCCGCTCCTTTGATAACTATACTGCGGTTTCTTTTTAGTTCTTTTAGAGCTCTAGCTTCTTCTTGGGTCATATTATTGTAAGGAATAACTGACTTGTATTTGAAATTATTATGGTGCTTCAATTTCTTAAAATCTTGGTCCTTATGTTCGCATTCACAATTTCCAAAGCGTCAATTTCAGTGTTTATTTCCATTTGCTCATCAAGGAGGGACAGATTTTTAAAAATAATTTTGTCTTGAGGATTGTTAAGGAAACCAGGGCATTGATCTGCACTATTGGCTTCCATAATATTAAAAGACCTCGTCAGTGTGAGTTTCCTAACAAACTGATTCAGGTCTTTGAACAAATCAATGATGTTAGGGAATTTGAAAGGGGCAAAACTGAGACCTTTATTTAGCAACAGAATTAGTACATGTGTAGAAAGATTAAAGATGCCTTTCAGGGGAGGCATCTTACTTTGGGTTGAGATCCACTTCCCCTTGTTCCTCTATGGGGGCATCTCTTTTCCTGCCCCCTACTTTTGTAAATAGGGGATATGTGCGCGGAGCATGGTGAGTACCTTGCCCTAATAAAAGATGTTGTTCTTCCACTGGAGCTCTGGAGGTTATAGATTTTGGTCATGCTCCTAAATCCGTAGTAGCCTTAGATCAGACCTCCTAGTTGTTAGGCGTGGTAGGTAGATACAGGGAGTGCAGAATTATTAGGCAAGTTGTATTTTTGAGGATTAATTTTATTATTGAACAACAACCATGTTCTCAATGAACCCAAAAAACTCATTAATATCAAAGCTGAATATTTTTGGAAGTAGTTTTTAGTTTGTTTTTAGTTTTAGCTATGTTAGGGGGATATCTGTGTGTGCAGGTGACTATTACTGTGCATAATTATTAGGCAACTTAACAAAAAACAAATATATACCCATTTCAATTATTTATTATTACCAGTGAAACCAATATAACATCTCAACATTCACAAATATACATTTCTGACATTCAAAAATAAAACAAAAACAAATCAGTGACCAATATAGCCACCTTTCTTTGCAAGGACACTCAAAAGCCTGCCATCCATGGATTCTGTCAGTGTTTTGATCTGTTCACCATCAACATTGCGTGCAGCAGCAACCACAGCCTCCCAGACACTGTTCAGAGAGGTGTACTGTTTTCCCTCCTTGTAAATCTCACATTTGATGATGGACCACAGGTTCTCAATGGGGTTCAGATCAGGTGAACAAGGAGGCCATGTCATTAGATTTTCTTCTTTTATACCCTTTCTTGCCAGCCACGCTGTGGAGTACTTGGACGCGTGTGATGGAGCATTGTCCTGCATGAAAATCATGTTTTTCTTGAAGGATGCAGACTTCTTCCTGTACCACTGCTTGAAGAAGGTGTCTTCCAGGAACTGGCAGTAGGACTGGGAGTTGAGCTTGACTCCATCCTCAACCCGAAAAGGCCCCACAAGCTCATCTTTGATGATACCAGCCCAAACCAGTACTCCACCTCCACCTTGCTGGCGTCTGAGTCGGACTGGAGCTCTCTGCCCTTTACCAATCCAGCCACGGGCCCATCCATCTGGCCCATCAAGACTCACTCTCATTTCATCAGTCCATAAAACCTTAGAAAAAATCAGTCTTGAGATATTTCTTGGCCCAGTCTTGACGTTTCAGCTTGTGTGTCTTGTTCAGTGGTGGTCGTCTTTCAGCCTTTCTTACCTTGGCCATGTCTCTGAGTATTGCACACCTTGTGCTTTTGGGCACTCCAGTGATGTTGCAGCTCTGAAATATGGCCAAACTGGTGGCAAGTGGCATCGGCAGCTGCACGCTTGACTTTTCTCAGTTCATGGGCAGTTATTTTGCGCCTTGGTTTTTCCACACGCTTCTTGCGACCCTGTTGACTATTTTGAATGAAACGCTTGATTGTTCGATGATCACGCTTCAGAAGCTTTGCAATTTTAAGAGTGCTGCATCCCTCTGCAAGATATCTCACTATTTTTGATTTTTCTGAGCCTGTCAAGTCCTTCTTTTGACCCATTTTGCCAAAGGAAAGGAAGTTGCCTAATAATTATGCACACCTGATATAGGGTGTTGATGTCATTAGACCACACCCCTTCTCATTACAGAGATGCACATCACCTAATATGCTTAATTGGTAGTAGGCTTTCGAGCCTATACAGCTTGGAGTAAGACAACATGCATAAAGAGGATGATGTGGTCAAAATACTCATTTGCCTAATAATTCTGCACTCCCTGTATATATCATTGGATGCAGTGGTGTTAGTAGAAGGTGTTCTTTGACGAGTAAGGGGGATATGGTTGGGGTTGTTATATCCCTTCTGGTAGCCTCTCCTGAAGCTCCTTGGGGAGTTTGCATATTCTGACTCCATGTGGGGTCTTGGATTATATTGCACTGCTTCTTCATAAAACTTGTGGGGGTATTGTGGTGTTAAATTGGGTCTCGAACATGCATAAGGTAAGGAGGAACTGTTAATAGGAAAAAAGCCCTTATTACAGCTGAAACAAACTGTATCTTCAGGCTCAACAGCCATAACCCATATGGACTAAATAAAGATTTAGAACAGATTACATAGTTCTTCTTTTTTCTTTTTCTGGTTTTCTTAGCTTCCTTTTATCCGATTACCTCTTCTCCACCTAGACATATAATAAGATCCAGTATTTGCTGGACCTTTGATTCCGACATTTGATACTTATTATTTGTCTGTGTTCAGGTCCGGGGTCCAAAAAACGTAATGTTTGGTACAAACATGAACTTTACAGTCCGGGATCGCTCAACTCTATTTATCAGTATTTTTATATATCTTTTACAGATTTCTGTTGATCATATAGGGTCTACCTACTGGACAACTAGCTATTATTCAGGTTTAAAGTCTATATGAAAGTAGGGACCTAATGTTGGTTAGTTTTATAGCACTTTAGGGTAGTTGTGAATACTCACTGTGTCACTTTTGTCTCTGATATGTGACTGATTTTAAATAATATGTCGTCTGTGTTTTATGTCTGAATCTTACTTTAAGTGTATAAATTGTATCAGGAAAAACTTTAAATGCATTTGGTGGTTTTTAAGCATCAGCCCTAGATACTGTTCACATTGATTTAGGGATATGGAATAGGTTTCAACATTTTTAATGTTTCTTTTCTTCTTATTGTTAAAATCAATGCCCAATTCCTTTATTATTATTTATTTTCACTGTCACTTTAAGAATGGCAGTTTTGCCGAAAAATGACGTCACAAGTAAATTTTTTAATTAGCTCTGAGTATCGGTATATATATTGGTCAGATCCTTGGAAGATCACACAGTCTTGATAAGTCTTCAAGTAAGATGAAACGCATAGACTGAATCTATCATCTTCACTCATAGTTGACACCTGGATTACGACATCTTGGCTGGCGCTTTTTGCCAAAAATTGATTTAGTCTTTCCAACATCGGGTGAGTGTGGACCGGCGTGCTCCTCTACCCGGCTTCTGGCGCGGCAAACAGGGTAAGTGATACTGGGATTCCCCCAGAGCTTTTTCAGGCTTGGGGTTTCGTCTCAGCACACCCTTAGCAGAGCCATGATAGCCGGACTGGTTTAAGAGCTCCATGTCCCACCTACCCGGTATAATTTAGCATGCATGCACCTCCAGCATTCTAATGATAGAATCTCTTCCCACTTTTTTACCATTATTATATTTTTTACCTAAACATTGGATTTATTTCAATTTTTTCCCTTATCCGATAATTCTCCAGTGAATGAGCCCCTCACTGGAGTCATATTAACATTATCCTCAGAATTCCACATATATTGTGTTTTATATTATTTTATTTTTAATAAATGTTATTTATGTATTTGTTTGGTTGAGATTTCTTATACTTATGGATTGCTGAATCTGATAGTGTCACCTTTTGTGTTATATACCTCCACACTCTAGGTTGTTGGTACTCAGAGGTTCAGAGGTTATACTATGTATTTTGTTTCATGATATTTCTGATATATTAGCTGTTTCATACAGTTTTACCTTAATTGATGCTACAGATTGAGACTCTTTCAGGTTATCAACTGTTTAGATCTTTTTTCTGCTGTAATATACATTTGAGTTTTTTGGAGTGCTCACTCACACATATGTTTGATGCATTAGCATTTTAACAATTTAGTTAAGATTGCACTTAATAAGACTGGCATTTTATAAGAGGGTTTTCATATAAATTAATGGAGAGCAAAAAATGGGTCGCAAGAGTATTCTGAGAAAATAGCCTGCCCTTCGGTGGGTCCCCGTTCAGAACTCAAGCTGGTTTTAGCTCATCTTGTGCCATTACAGAGAGAACATATCTGAAGCATATCAGACTGGTCCCACCCATACGGGCAGTCCAGATCCAAAATGCCAGCAAGTTCTCTCTGCACGAGAGATACAGCAACCCCAGACGATCGTTTCAGCCTTGTTAGGCATCGTCAGTGAGGCATAGCTGATATCTCTCTAGGCACCGTGAGCAAGGGGTCCACGTCTGGATTACCCTTTAAACTAATGGAGAGTAAAAAAATTGGTCGCAAGAGTATTCTGAGAACGGACAGCAGCTAAAATAGCCTGCCCTTCGGTGGGTCCCCGCTCAGTTCTCAAGCTGATTTTTGCTCATCTTGTGCCTTGTTAGGCATCATCAGGGAGGCATAGCTGATATCTCCCTAGGCACCGTGAGCAAGGGGTCCACGTCTAGATTACCCTTTAAACTTGTGGAGAGCAAATAAAAATGGGTCGCAAGAGAATATCTGATTTGCTTTAAGAAATGTTCTCTCTGTAATGGCACAAGATGAGCTAAAACCAGCTTGAGTTCTGAGCGGGGCCCACCGAAGGGCAGGCCATTTCGGCTGCTGTCCGTCCTCAGTGCACTCTTGCGACTTGTTTTTTGTTTATACACATATTCATTACCAGATTTATTTCTCATTTATGGGTATCGCCTCTTTTTGCTTATTTGTATTAACAGGGCTCAAACCCAGGTAGCTCTAACAAACCCTTTGATGTGGTATTCACAAATGTGTTATTTTTTTTTATAAATTGACCTCTCCCTTTGTTGCTTCTTGGGGGGTCTAGAAGGACTACTTCATTTTGTACTACTCCTTCTGCAGCTAAGATACCCTCAGTCTGTGTTTGTGGAAGCCCCATTCTTTATCAATAAATTGCTAGTACATGTAGGCCTAACTGAAATACTAGTTCCACTACCGTGAGACTGAATACTACAACTTATAGTGGTGGTTCTTCTAGTCGTGCTTGCGATGGTGATGGTACAGGCAGTATCGGCAAAGGTGTTAGAAATACTTATGGCCTTTCAGCACCTTGACATATCTTCCTCAGCCATGAGGGACAGAATCTTTGCCCTCCCTCAATAACATCCCATTGATGATTAATGTTTTTTTTTTTAAATAGTTTACATAATGCTCATTCATACCCCCTATTATATTAACACAACTTTACCAACTTAAATTAGATGTTTGTAATGGATTGAAAAAAAAAAATGTGCTTTGATTTACTCCTGTACAGTGTTTTGACTTTAAGACCACAGGGCACTGCTAAGTGCTTGCATAGAATACAGTAAAAGGAAAAAAGCTTATACATTTAATTTTTTTAACCCCTTAAGGACCAAACTTCTGGAATAAAAGGGAATCATGACATATCACACATGTCATGTGTCCTTAAGGGGTTAAAGATGTTCCTGTCTATAAAACTAGTGCTGGTGCAGCACACTGGACGGAACACACTCAAAAGAAAAGGATTTTCTTTTTACAAAGAGGTAACAAATAAACACATGCCAAACTCTGTGCAGTGTTCACTTGTCCGGTAAACTGACACAAGCTATATTGCATTAGCTGAATTGTAAAAATCCTACAAACTACATTTTAGTTTCGTTATTCTGGTCTAACATTTGAAACAACTTTAGTGAATAGCCCTGTTTAAAACATATTTGACTATGTTTGGGAAAATAAATCATTATGTCTGATTGTCCATTTTCTGCAGGTCGCAGAGTTTGTGTTGGAGAGACCCTTGCAAAGATGGAGCTGTTTATCTTTTTTACAAGCTTACTGCAGAAGTTCACATTTCATCTACCTCCTGGTACTTCTGATGTCAACCTCAATTCACTAGGTGGATTTACAAATGCACCACCACCACAAATGATCTGCGCTGTACCACGTTACTAAAAAACAAAAAAATTTAAACTCATGACAAATTTTCATATAACAAATTAAAAGATGTGCTATAATTCCATAAATATAATTCAGAAATAATATGCACATTTTCCTTCAAATTCTGTTACCTGTTCAACTATCTATTTACATGCGTGTAACCAGTTTATTCCTTTGCTTGTCACTTTTTTCCAAATTTATACATGTTATTTGTGGTGAACCATGACTTATTTACCCTGTTAAACGTCATTAAAGAGCTGTAACATTACCCCTGGCTCTGTACCTTCCCCTACTCATGTGAAACCACCAAAAGTGCCTCCTTCCAGGCATGTAATTCGATCCAGAGAGCTGCGAGTTCCTAGCGGGACCTGGTAGCAAATCTTTGGGAACTCCGGCTCGGCCGCATTACCTACCAGTCAACTTCCCCTGCTGTATTGCCCTATTTCTGACCTGCCAGGAGAGCGGAATGTACTAAGGACTGAAGAGACCAATTGCTCTCTGAGAGACAGTGGAGCCCCCTTTTGTTTGCCTGCAGGACCTCCCAATTATTGACCGGCCAAAGGGACATTAGCCCTGGAACTATTTTTGTCTTGAACTTTGTTAGCGGCTGGTCTAATCTTTACCACAGTAGTGATTTGTCTGTTCCCCATGGATCTGAGTGATATTTTGACAACTTGGGATATATCATGTGTGGGGGTTCCTGATTATTTTCATGTGGTTTTTGGGGTGTTTTGTGTTGCCCTCCGTGTCTGGGAGATAACCAGCTTAATGAAGTGGCCTGGGTGCCAGGTCCAGCTAGGGTTAACCCTTTTTTCTATAAACATAGCAGTTTCAGAGAAACTGCTATGTTTATATTAGGGATAATCCAGCCTCTAGTGGCTGTCTAATTGCCACGCATGCGCATTCAGCCGAGGAGGCAGAGAGGAAGAGGAGAGCTCCCCACCCGGCGCTGGAGAAAGAGGTAAGTTCCACCCCCTAAAGTCCTTCCACCCCCTAAAGCCCAGCGGGAGTGGGACCCTGAGGGTGGGGGCACCCTCAGGGCACTATAGGGGTCCTTTAAGCTAACTCCATTATATTCCAGACACAGAGATGCCTGGGTGGGCACTGTATGTATTGAATGGGGAAGCCATGCTGACAGTCTGGGCATAAAAGCATTTGGTTCATTAAAATCTATTGTACTCCCAGAACAATGTGTCATCTAGTTAATGGGGGGAAAGGGTTATAATCACTAAACAGCGCTTCTTCCAGCTATGAGGAGAATTCGGTGGAGATGCCTCATTAAAGTATTGGAGCTCCGCTACATTACTTTTACCAATTTTATAAAAAATTTAAAAATGAAGGTTCATGTATTAAAGACACAAACTAAAGCTATAACTGGTGTAAAGATAATTATTAAAATATAATCTTTGTTTACAGACATCCATGTCAAACAAAAAAATCAGTACTTAGTCTCAGTAAATAGTCCCTCCAGGAAAGACCAACAAATCAAACTGAATCTTAAAGGTCCAATAGCTAGTTTAAACTTCCCTAATAATGGTTTATGTAACACAACTGTTTCCAAAGGTGGAGTAAAAGTATACTCCACAATCTTCAACTTCAGAAAAACCTGAAAATATATGTTTTGCCTGCTAAAAGAAATGTGGAATAATAATTGTGGTGTGAACAACACCCCCAGAGTTTGACTCCTCTGCTTTTCTGTATCCTGGCCCAACGAGCCAAGAGTAGTGAAAACATGAAATAGGCTAATTTAATAAATATAAAAAAATATATAGTGAATTCAGAGCTGAAAGGCAACATCTGGGCATCACATTCTGTTTAATTTTGAATTTCGTATTTGCTCTGTTAATAGCCTATTAGAACCTGCAAAAGCTATTTATGTGTAATTGAAGTTCAATTTACAGAGAAGGAGATAAAAACTTACATTAGAAGTTTTTAACATCTCATTGAAACTGAAACCATTGTTTCCATGAAGGCCGTGTCTGTCACAGCCAGAGGTGGTGTGGCTAGGACAGCATGGACATAAACAAAAGTGATTTAACTCCTAAATGGGAGATACTTGATCAGTGAGAATGCAAGAGCATGATCTATTTTCCCAAACTGCTACATTAGGCTAAAGGTTTTTTTGCATACTGAATTCATTTTAGTGTATAGCTTATATCTCTGCAAACGGATTTGACATCCCTTCAAATCCATTGGTAGTAACATTTATAGCATTTTCTGCTACATTAAAGGGACACTATAGGCATCAAAACATTAGTTTAACCCCTTAAGAACACGTGTGACATGTCATGGTTCCCTTTTTATTCCAGAAGTTTGGTCCCTAAGGGGTTAATGAAGCAGTTTTGGTGTATAGATCAAGCCTCTGAAGTTATAAGGAGTTAAATCCATTTGCTTCTGTTTTTTTGCAGCTCTAGTCACACCTCCCCTGCCTGTGCCTCACACAGCCGGCATGGAAAAAAAGGTTTAATATTTACTCAAATAGTAACCAACTTAAAGATATGGAAACATAATGTAATCCTGAACATTTCTTTTCAAAGGCAATGGTATCACTAGGTGGCACTGTTATAATATTGTGCAGAAACTATACTTTTTATTCATTGCATTTATACCTCACTGATTATATCCATAACATTTAAAAACAATAAAATGTGCCAATATTAACCCAGATTGGTAAAAGTGTTTACTAGTTTCACTACTGGGAAAACAAACTCTATTTGCTGTCTTGTGTGTAGACCGTTTGCTCCAATGTCCTTGTGATATTCAGTATGTTGGTCAGACTATTAGACCTTTTAAAAAAGACAAATACTTAACCGCATGGCCATTGTGAACAAAAACATTAAACAGTGTTTTTCGACACTGTAAATAATATCAGGGGATCAAACTATAGCTTGACACTGTAACCAATATCCGGGGATCAAATTATTATTTTTTGTTTATTGATTTTTTTTCAAATAGTATGAAAAGTACAAACATTAACACAATATTTACAAAAAAAACCCTTACTGTGACAGAGCTCCCATACTCTGTCCAAGTACCTCCATACTTCCTTGCTGCTATCATGGACCCTGGAGCACTGCAGACCCAATCGCCAACGCTTGACTGGAATCGGTGAGGTCCTTTTTACATCCTGGAGCAGGATAATGTGATTTATAGCTCTGGAAACCCTTTCTCAAGCAGTACAGTGATCATATTCATAACCCTTTCCTCAAACACCAGATAACACTTGGTGATGGTGAAAAACAGCAGCAACCTTTATTGAGAACAGCACATATTTTTATACCCCCAACATCCACATTTACTTACAATACAGTAACAGTGGTACCCAATGGCAGTATAGTCTTCAGATAGAACCAATAACACTACATATCCCAAGCCAACCTATAGCAGTATGGACTTAGGATAGCAACCAATCACAGTACAAACTTACAACCAGTGTAAATGAAGCCTTGTAATTACCCGGAAGGCTAGGGACAGACATTAACATGTGTGAGGATATTTATGGGGTGATAAATATTTTAAAAATGATCAATGTATTTTTATTATATAAAAAATTGATATCTTGGCACTGTTTCCCCAATTAATGATTTAAAGCTGAGAATTACCCGCTATTTTAATTCTCCTAGATCCTAGAGTAAGTTTAATTAGAAGATTTTATTTCACACATTAATCAAAAATTAATTATAAAAATATAATTTATTGTGACCATAATAATAAGTAACATGCATGACAAAACTCAGTGAATATTTAGGTATAACATAAGTATACAATATGGCAGTGGTTTAACACACTATAGACAGCTAAATAGCAACAGTTGTATGCAGTTTTCTAACAAGATTTACAACAGGTCAATTTACTTTGAAATCAACTTAACACAAAACACAGCATCTCACAGCAGCACAGAGTAAAGCAATAAAAACTTTGCGTGACAGTCCATTCACACTGAATTAACTATTTAATTGCTAGCTACAATTCTCAATTTCTCAAAGGCAAGATATCCTATTATATTACAATTTTACATCTACAATAATTCTCATACCAGATCATTCACCATTCCTATGTCCATCCAATAAGAATAATTCTAACCATTTTACATTTTGCAGAATTTTAACTTTCCTAATTAAGAATCACTATTCTTAATTCCAGAACAAGTCAATACCTCCTGGATAAAAAATTAGGTATGCTAACATTTGGCAAATTCACCATTAATGTATTATCTTTATTCCACCTGCAGTAATGGAATTTTTATAACCATATATTACTTAGCTAATTATGAATTTTAATAATTGAAATCTTACCAACATTTATCCAAATATATATATTCCTGCTATTAGTAAAAATTCATTTAATTAACTAAAATCTGCATAATTACCAGTTAGGTTGTAGTTTTCTATTACATGTATAGATATGTCCCAGGAATTTTGAATGCAAGTATGATGAGAGAATTGTATGAAAATATATAAAAGTTTTCAAAATTCTGAAGTTATGTTAGTTGGAAAAAAATATAAAGAATTAGGTGAGTCCAGCTTTGGCTCCAGATGTCAGATCTTAGATGTTAATTTGAGTTATGTCTAAGTGTCTGAGTACAAGAGGGATTTTAAGTGTAAGAGTCCGAGTGTTTGAGAGTGAGAGTCCTGAGTCCAGTCCCCTCTCTCCTTGGTCCTTAAGTTTTAAGGAGAATTTTCTGTATGTCATTAACCAATAGCGAACTGTGAGCATGTCTTCCCTACAGACTCATCTAGATTTTGGTCAGTAGATGGCGCAATTACATCACCGAAAATTCTTCGCAGGGGGTCCATTTATTTTTTTGTATAATGGGTTAACTAAATTTCATGATGTGTTTGACGTCATCTGGGTTATCTTTATAAATACCATCCATCAAAGAAGCTGTCAATCTTCAAAGAGTTTGGTTCACTCTTACCCAGATTTGTGTCTGTGTTTTAGGGTCATAATTTAGAATTGGACATATTCTTAATTTCACCTTTCCATACAATGGAACTTGCAAGATTCTGTTAGTT